CATAGCATAGTGACAATGTGCTGGCCTTCCACCGTAGCGATTGGGGTTCGAATCCCCGCGGAGGCTCCGGGGATTTTACGCTCGTCTTCGTCAAAGGACCTGACGGCTGAACCTAACGGTAATCGGCTGACAACTTTAACCCCCTTTTTTTGGTGATTTTATCAATCGCTAGGATCATCAACATCTGAGCGATCATCCTCGATCTTATCGCGATAAAATCGCAATTTTTTCGGGCCGATAAAATCGCAATAAAATCGCGAAAAGATCGAGGATAATCGCTCAAATGTTGATGATCCTAGCGATTTTATCGCCGATAAAATCGAGGATAATCGCGACTTTATTGGCGATAAAATCGCGATTTTTCCGTTGAAAAATGCTACTTGGGATCTCCCCTTCTCTCTTTCCACTCTTCCTCTTATCTCCTCTTTTTCTCTTTTTTACTTCTTCTAATTTTTCTTCCTCTGCTTCCCTCCACTCATGGGTCGTGGAGGGGGAGGGGAGGGGTGTCAAAGCTGTTTGCATGAATAATAATCAAACCTCGTGTTGGTCCTGAAGCTATGAATTTCAACCAGTCCGCTTCCGCAGGTGTTTATGGGAATCGCCTTCTCGCTTCTCAGTGGCAATAAGCAGATCTTAAATATGATAGCCCAACACAAAGCACAGAGCGTAGCGACGTGCTGCCAGTGCGGAACGCGCATCGGCGCCTACAAACCTAAGGGGATACTTCACGCATTGCGCAATGCGTGAAGTATCCCCTTAGGTTTGTAGGCGCCAGTGCGCGCTCCGCACTGGCAGCACGTCGTTACGCTCTGTGTTAGGCTCTCATATTTAAATTAGACTTCACTTTGCGATTGAAAGCTAACATTTCTGGCTCATCCGTAAAAACACGTATGTGCATAGGGAAACAAACGGTACCTACGTTGTTTCTTAATCGAGCTAGAGATCGTAGTTCCAATACATGAAGTCCCATTTAATGCATCCAGTCCCGCGGTTGATTCTACGCAGCTAACTTCGCACGTCGCGTGTATTATCCAGTGGAACCGTGGCTTTTTCGAGTGGTTCTGCGTTCGCCGGGAACATCCTCTCGCTTTGAGGGAATATTATTTTATGACGCTCTTGAAATATTTATTTCGATCGCCGCTCGTCTGTTGACTCTCTTACTTTTTGAGGCGCATTTTCAAGTGTCTAGGTACGTACTTATCATCACGTTTCTGTTTTTCGCGTTCGCGTCATACACGCCATGTTGCCAAGCTGCTACGCTGCGCTTCACACGATTCACTTGAAGGGCCGCTCAAGTATTGCGTGAACTACCTGGAGAGGGGAAGGAGTTCAAGGCTGTCTCCTATGGGTCGTTTAAGGATTACGTAAGACATTTTGGCTGACTTTTCTGATCCTTTCTTCCTCGTAAGGCCAGTGATGTGGCGTGCTTCGCAATGTCGATTGATCTGCCATTGAAGTTTATGGAAAAGGGTCGATAAACAGGGTGTTTTCAACAAACTCCTCAATAATCGATTCTTTACCCAGCCTCAAATGGGGAAGTAGCAATTATCGATCATCGATTATTCTTGCCTCACCCCTGCGTGAGGCATCCCGAAGACATCCTTTGAATTACGTTAAATTAGCCTGACCTTTCCCCTTAATTTCTCAGAAAATGCCGAGAAAGCCTGAAAATCAGCCGAAAAAATTATTTTTATTGAGATTTTTTTTTCTTAAAAAAAAAAGTCTTACCGGGNGGGGGGGGGGATGAGAGAGCAACTCTCCCCATGACCCGAAAGGCCCCACCATATGTGATGATGGAGTCAGACAAAAGGGCCT